TAGCTGGGTGTGATGGCACACGCCCATAGTTCCAGCTACTTGGAAGGTTGAGGTAGAAGGATCATCTGAATCTAGCAGGTCGAGGCTGCGGTGGCCATGAGCATGCCACTGCCCTCCAGCTTGGGCAACAGTGAGACTTCAACTAAAAAATGTATGATTTTTTTTTCCCCCCAGCCAATCTACTCACAAAATTATTTCCATGTTCATGTTTGTACTTGTCTTCTGGGACACCATATTTTCTGGGTTTTACTTTTACCTGAGTAATCAAACTTCTCTAAGGAACAGAAAAACGAAAACAGATTGGAAACCACTAACTTTTCTCATGATATAAACAAGGAAATGAGGACTTAAGGATCAGTGAAGAGGCAGGATTGAAACTTAAGTCCAGTATTTTTTCCACTGTACTAAGTCACTACTGCTACTATTTTTTATTTACAATTACACATCAGACATAAAAAAACCAGGACTTGGTCAGTAGTGCCCAATTCTTCATTTAGTCTGGCTGTTGCAATACCCAGGGAAAGAAAATCTTCATTAAAAACAACAACAGGCCGGGCTTGATGGCTCAGCCTGTAATCCTAGCACTTTGGGAGGTTGAGGCGAGTGGATTGCCCGAGCCCGTGTTTCAAGACCAGCCTGGGCAACCTGGCAAGACCTCGTCACTACAATAAATCAAAAAAATTAGCCGGGCATGGTAGCCCGCGCCTGTAGTTCCAGCTACTTGGAAGACTGAGGCGGAAGGATCGCCAGAGGCCAGCAGGTCAATGCTGGGGTGGCTGTGAGTGTACCACTGCACTCCAGCCTGGGCAACAGAGCGAGGCTTCAACTCAAAAAACAACAAAAAACCTAGGTGTTAGCTGCTGTACAAATTTTCACTACTGTTGTTATTAGTTGGAACATTATCACGTAAAGCGAAAGATTAAAACAGCCTTCACTGCTGTCTTCCACAGATGGTACCTGGCATTTTACCAAGTGTGGTGATAAGACTGACAAAGGTATATATATATTTTTGAGTCGGAGTCTCACTCTGTCACCCAGGCTGGAGTGCAGTGGCAAGCTCATGGCCACTGCAGCCTCGAACTGCTGGGCTCCAGCGATCCTTCTGCCTCAGCCTTCCGAGTAGCTGGAACGACAGATGCACATGACCACGACCAGCTAGTTTTTGTGATTTTAGTGTAGAGACAAGGTCTCACCAGGTTGCCCAGGCTGGTCTTGAACCCCCGGGCTCAGGCAATCCTCTGGATTCGGCCTCCCAAAGTGCTGGGCAGGCTGAGACAAAGATATATTTTGATCCCTTCTAGGATGTTTTAACATCAAGATTAGTTGAACAATCCTGTGTCTTCCCTATGCACAGTTCACTGTTACTGTTTTGCCGTGGTTCTAATGCAAGCTCTTGATCGACCTGTGGAATTGTGGGAGGCAGCTGATCCAACAAGGTCATCATGCTGTGCTAAGGAAGTCCCCTGCCTTTTGGGCATCAGGGACCGGTTTTGTGGAAGACAATTTTTCCAAGGGGTAGGGGGGCGGGAAGGCAAGCTTCGCTGCCATCACTACCTCAGCTCCACCTCAGGCCATTGTCATAAGGAACATGCAACCTAGATCCCTTGAACGCACAGTTCACAATAGGATTCATGCTCCTAAGAGAAGCTAATGCTGCCGCTGATCTGACAGCTGCCAGAACTCTGCTCACCTCCTGCTGTGCAGCCCGGTTTCTTTCAGTTTTTTTTTTTTTTTTTTTTTTTT